TAAGTGTTGTAAATCCTACCTCTATGATGTTAATGAGGCAGGATTAGAGGCAGTTGTGTTAATGAGGCAAGACTCAATTTACAAGATTAGGTTGTATTTTGAGTCAATCTCTTTTGAGATATAAAGGAGAGAAGCAGGCTGAGAGAAAGAGGGATCTCCTACTGCCAAGAAAGCAGAGCCAGGAGGGGAGTGTGTCCCTGCACTGAGGAGATTGATGAGCGGGACCCTCCCCCAGAGCCAACAGAGAGAGAAAGCCTTCCCCTGGAGCTGGCACCCTTCTAGACTGTGAGTGAACAAATTTCTTTATTAAAGCCGTCCACTTGTATTTCTGTTATAACAGCACTAGATAACTAAGACACCCCCTAAAGAAGCAAAACAGGAAAATAGACTGAAAAATGAAACAAAACTTTGGAAAAGGCTGACACATGTTTATCTTTTATGAAATTCTAAAATCTGACAAATACAGATTTTAAGAAAATGTTTTACAAGAATTGATTATTTCCAAAATAGCTTTTAGACAAGTATCTCTTAGGAGAAAAGTCAAAGGAGTTCAGCAGAAGGTGGTTTGAGTTTGAAGACACTGGGTGGGCACAGAGACACCAAGAGGTGGGAGATGTGCAGAAAGAGAAGGAAGAAGAGAAAATGGAAGGCTCTATCTAGGACTGGCACCCAGGGCTCCTGGAGTTCTTCCAAGGTGTCCATAATTTGAAAGAAAGTACCATGGGCCTTGTGCAGGGTAGTATTTCTCTATCTTGGGCCATTCATTATAAAGCTAAGTCTGTCCTTCATTATTAGGCCCAAGCATTGGTGCAGTAAACTCCTTTGATCCATATGTATTGTATTCTGCATTTGACAGTTTTCAACTGCATCACTCTCAAGAGTGACTAAGAAGCCCTGGTGATGCAGTGGTTAAGTGCTTGGCTAACTAAAAGATTGGTGGTTCAAACCCACTAGCTATTCCGAGGGAGAGAGACCTGGCTGTCTGCTTCGAAAAAGATTTACAGCCTTGGAAACCCTATGGGTCATTTCTACTCTGTCCTATGCTAATGAGTTGGAATCAACTAGATGGCAATGGGTTTGGTTTGGGTTTTTCAAGAGTGACT